CCCCCATTTCCCCCCTCAGGATCCCCCATAAATCCCACTTTCCCTCCTCCCTCCCTTCAGGACCTCCCAAATTTGCCCCAGCTCCCCCTCCTAGCCCCCCCCGCAGTACCTGCACCCCACGAGCCCACAACGCCCGCCCAAGCTCCCACAGCCTCCTCCTCAGCGCCGCCATTTTGCTTCTCCTTCTCCCCTCACGTCAGCACGCACGCACGCTGTACGTCAGCACGCACGCCGTACGTCACCGCGCACGCCCGGCGCATGCACAGCACCGCCCTCTTCGGCCGCGCGCTGCGTTCTGTGAGGAAGCGTTGAGGTGCGGCTGCGGCCCTGCGGGCGCCTTTTAGGGTATTTCTGTGGGGTTTGGGGGCTAAAGGCGCCCAGGAAAGGCGGGGAGCCTCGAGGACGGCTTGTGAAGTCTTAAAGGTGTTTTTTTTATTGGAGGGGAGGCGTTTGCGGCGCTTCCGAGGGGTTTAAAGGAGCCGTGCGCCTGCTAGGGGCCTTCTGAGGGGGCTGTGGGGCTCGTGGGGCCTTTGGAAGGGACGTGGGGGGTTAGGGTGATTTAAGGGGTAGTTGGGGCACTTTAGGAGGGGCCGTGAGGCTTTTGGGCTCCAGAGGGGGGCGCTGGGGGCTCAGGCGTCTGTGGGGCTCCGGATGGCCCTGTGAGGCTTTGCGGGGGGGGGTGGCTTCAAAACCTCGGGGGGCCATTAGTGGGGTTTTGGGGATCCTTAGGGGTCTCTTTGTATTCTTAAAAAGTATTGTGTGTTGTATTCTGTGGCTTTTGGGGGAGCTTCGGGGGGCCGGAAAGGCATCTGGAGGGGTCCTGGGGGGTCTGTGAGGCTTTGAGGGGGATTGTAAGAGCTTTGGGAGGATTTTGTGAGGGTCCGAAAGGCATTTGGGAGGGGTTTGGAGGGTCTTAGGGGACTTTGTGAGGATTGGGGTAGTGGGAGGGGTGGGGTCTTAGGGGACTCTGAGGCTTTGGGGAGTGGGTGGGAGGGGTCCAAAAGGCATTTGTGTGGACTCTGGGGGGGTCTGTAAGGATTTGGGGTTCACTTTTGGGGGCTTTAGAGGTTCTGGGGAGGGAAATTGGGGTTTGGGGGGTGTCAACTCACAGATGGGAAGCCCCTCCCCCCCAGCTGTCATGGCGGCTCTGTGTCAGCACCCTTTGCCCCCTGGGCTGAAGTCCCTTTAAAACAGAAATTGAGGGGGCAAAAAAAATCACCACAGAAGGGAAAAAAGTCCAGAAGAGTTTTTTAGGGGATTTGAAAGAGGTCTGTGAGGGATTTAGGGGATATTAAAGGGGTTTCGGGGGCCCCATATGGGTCTGTAAGGTTTTGAGGGTGGGGTCTTTGAGGCCTTGTGGAAGGTTGGGGGGGCAGGGAAAATTGAGGTGTTTGGGGGACACTAAGGGGGGGCTCTGTGAGGTTTTGGGGGGGGTCTATGGGGCTTTATGGGACTCCATAATGGTCCAGGGGGCTTGGGGAGGGATCTGTGGGACTTTTAGGGGGTCTCTGGAGGGGTCTTTGGGATTTTTGAGTGCTCTGTGGGAATCCGGGGGTGCTCTGTGAGGATTTGGGGGGGGTCTGTGAGGGGTTGGAGGGAATTTGGGGATGGGTTTATGGGACTTTTGGGGATCTCTGGAGGGGTCTTTGGGACTTTTGGTGGTTTCCTAGGGGTTTGCGGGGGTTGGGGGAGGGGTCTGTGGGACTTTGGGGGAGTCTGTGGGGCTTTTGGGGACGCCATGGGGGTCTGGGGGGCTTGGGGAAGATTTGTGGGGGTCTGTGAGGCTTTTGGGGACCCCATATAGGTCTGTGAAGGTTTGGGGGCATCCCATGGGAGTCTGTGAGGAATCTGGGGGACCCCATGGGGGTCTTAACAGAGCATTGGGAGAGAGTGAATGGAGCCCAATGCAGCTCCTTGCTCCTACCTTCATTTTTGGGGGGAGGGGGTGGCAATATTTCTTCTTATTTACAATTTTCCCATTATTTTGGGCTCTCTCTTCTCTTCCGGGATTCCCTCTCAATTTGGGGTGGGGTCCCATAACCCACTTCCCCTCCCCCTCTTCCCCACAGCCCCCTTCCCACCATGCAGCTCTTCGTCCGCGCCCAAACCCTCCACACCATCGAGGTCTCCTCCTCTGAGACCGTCGCCCAAATCAAGGTGAGACCCCTCAGAAAAGTGGGGAGAGGGCAACGTATGGAGGAGGTCCTGACCCCCAAAATCTATGGGGTGTCCCCCCAAAATTCTTCTTTCCTCCCCCTTCCCCCCCCAAATTTAGGAGCGGATCGCGGCGCTGGAATCCATCGCTCCGGAGGACCAGGTGCTGCTCTTTGGTGGGAGCCCATTGGAGGATGGAGCTGTGCTGGAACGCAGCGGTGTTCCCGAATTCTCTACTCTGGAAGTGGCTGCCCGGCTGCTGGGGGGTACGTATGGGGATGGG